TAATTTATTTTATATAATATTTATTTTAGACTTAATTTTACTGTAATATAAAACTGTAACAAATTGCCATAAAAAGTGTTCAATTATTTATTTGGTGGTAATGACAGTTCTGGGATTGGCCTTGCGCAATTTGTCGAGCACTTTATCACTGGCGGCGGTAATGGCGTTGTCGGACAAATCCAAATCGATGGCCAACTTCTGGCGCACAATGGGCTCGAAGGTGGCGTCCGTGAGGTCCGAGTCTTTGAATCCATTATTACTCAACACCAGTTTGATTGGCTCGTATTGGATGAGGTCTTCGCCAAAGCTGAGGGCATTGACGTCAATACCTTTGGCCAGCTTGTTGTTGGCTAAGTTGATCTTCAGGGGTCTCCTCAACGGCCAGAAGATATTTTCGGGCAAATACTCCAACTCATTGTTAGACAAATCGATTTCCTGGAGCTCTATGTTGTTGTGGTATTCCGAGGAGAACTCATCCGAATTCAATCGCTTAATCTTATTGCCGCTTAAGTCCAGTCTCTGGAGATTGTCTGAGAGGGCGAACGTGTCTTTGGGGAAGTCGACGATCTCATTGCCGCCCAAATTAATGTATCGCAAACTCTTGAGCCCGAAGAATAGACTGGAACTGATGGTCGACAGCTTGTTGTTGGCCGCGTCCAGGAGTACCAGATCCGGGAAATTACCCAAAGATATGCTTGTGATGGGGTTGTTGTTGAACTTCACGTATGTCTTTAGAATCAAGTTTCCAAATATCTATTGAGTATTGAGTTAATAGTAATTAATTAATTCAATGTTTCTAATACGGTATAGTAATAATTATTATACTATGGACTCAATACAAACCTCAGTGGTAATCTTGGTCACTTTAGTGTTGTAGAGCTCGAGCCCTTCAAACTCTTTGAGGTATTTAGGTCTGGCCTTATCAACCTTTGCCAACACCGCTTGCAACACGGCGTCAGTCACGGTCTGGCCCTCACATCGGATTTGATTTGTGAGGCAAACACACGGCGCTATATCCGCGTCCTTAACTAAGGGACAATCGGCATAGACTGTGGCCACGAATAGGGCACTGAATACGACTAAACCTAAAGAATAATACAATTGTGTTAAAAAAACTTATTACAAATACACTGAAGTCTTAAAAATATACCTTTAAGTGGATTCATGTTTCGAGTGATTGAATAAACCTATTGATTGGAAATCAGTGAAATGAATATATAGTCTACCAAACTGTTGCTAATCTGATAAATAGTACAAAAGCGAATTGATTTAATTGGAAACAGGTTTGTTTTGATAATATATACTCATTTAAAATGTTATACAATTCTGTGTGATAAAATTCTGTGATATTGACATACATTGGCTAACATACATGAAAATCTAAATCAGAATTTCACACAAACTAAATATTAACTTTTATTTTCAACAAATATTTGATTTACATAAAAAATCAAAATATGTTTTAATAACGACAGTAAATGTTAGTCATTAATACAATAGAACTAAACCATTGATAACATACTTATATTGTATGTATAGATAGATAAATAAAGTCTTCAATGGTTTCTTTGGCACATATTATAATTTGTCATTTACTTAATCTCTTGAGTATATTTCACCCCCTTTTTGATCATTTTATCACTACATAACCCATATATCAATGGATACATAAAAAGCACTTATGCACTTTCTAATAGAAAGTATCTAGTATCAATGCAATATTGCTTTAAGTTCATGTTTTGTACTCTTAAATCTCTTAAATATAATAACTTATAAATTCTGTATTTATTTTTATGCTTATAAATAGAGAAAAATGGAGAATTAATTGTAACTTATATAATATTATGTAAATTTAAATAAAATCAATTTAGAAATTCTGTTATTTTTAGTATAAAGTACTCAATAAGAACTTAAATTATACACTTATGAATTGAATTGAGTTTTAATACAATATTATAGAAGTTAAACTACTCTGATAATACGGTATATCCTAATATAGCAGATAGAAATCACTTATAAAAGACATAATATTCTGATTGCAAAGTTTAATAGATAATAACTTCTCAAGAATAGTATATGATATTAATTTAATACAGTGTAAAAATTGTTTTTAATGTTAAGTATGTAATTGTTTTAGACATACAGTATATTATAAATACAAAACTTTAAGTAAAAGCTAAGATAAAAAGTTCATATAAATATTATATAATCAGAAAAGTAAATATTAACAGAATTAAAAATTGAATTTTTAATACTATACCATAATTATAAATTGATTAGTTTTTTTTGTATAGAATACTAGATTTGAAATTGTATAACAGTAACAGTAAACTGAAATAACATAAAGAATTGAATTAAAAAATTGAAATCAGATATCAATTAAATTCAATTCACTTATGGCTCAGTATTTCACGAATTGTCTCACATTTAAACCCATTATTCAAACCAAATACCAATCAATCAATACATACCTTACTATACGTCTAACAACTACTACAACACGTCTGGACTCCAGATGACCGTCGACCACAAGTTTGGCGGACTTTAGGGCAGCTATAGGTCTACTGGAGTCACCCTTTCCTGGGATTTACATACGATTGAGGGGAAGGAGCGGACGGTTCATGTCGTGTCCGATATCCCCATTCAGTGCTCTATTGGTGTGTATGTCGGGTGACCTGTCTTTCGTTTGGCGGACGGGTTGGTCACCAACTCATAGACATTGTCTCACCTCTGGATCGCATGTGAGGTGAGGGACCGATAGATTCCGGCGCCGCTTAGTATACACTGAAGTGCACTAAGAGTACAGTTCCTCTGAATGTGGCGGACATTAACTGATGGGAAGTACTTATTACTGATGGAAGCGTCGGAATA